TTGGGACCCCAAAATGCCCCCCCCAGGTTTTTTGGGATGTCCTCATCCTCTCCCCATGTTTATGGGGGTATCCTCGTACCCCCCGAGCTCTTTGGGACCCCCAAAATTGCCCCCCCCAGGCTTTTGGGGGTGTCCTCATGCCCCCTCCCAGCTCTTAGGGTCCTCCCAATACCCTGTGGATCTCTTTGGGACCCCTAAAGTGGCCCTCCAAATTTTTTGGTGTGCCCTTTTCCCCCCCCCCGAGCTCTTAGGGACCCCCAAAATTGCCTATGACATTCCAGTGCCCCCCCAAATTTTTCTGGACCCCTCCATCACTGACTTCTCCCCCCCCCCAAAAACAACCCCACAGCCCGAACCCACAGAGGAGGACATCGAGAAAAACCCAGAGCTGAAAAAACTTCAAATCTACGGCGCCGGCCCCAAAATGTTGGGGTTGGGATTGGTGGCCAAAGACAAAACCCTACGGAAAAAAGGTATGGGGGGGAAGGGGGAGAATCTGGAGGGGGGTTAAAAGCTTAAAAGGGTAACCCTAAATCCCAACCCCATAGATAAAGAGGGCCCCGAGTGCCCCCCGACCGTGGTGGTGAAGGAGGAACCGGTGGCTTTGGGGTCTGAGGGCAAAACGGAGCCGCTGTCGGCACGAGTTTATCCTGAGAGCAAAGAGGAGCTGAGGCACAGCCCAGAGCCCTGCACCAAAATGACCATGCGTCTGCGTCGCAGCCACAGCAACAGCCAGTTTGTGAGTCACAGCCCATCGCAAAAAACGAAAATGAAAGCCCAAAGGGGGAGGGGGGGAACACAGAACGCGCCGGGGTGCCCACCGAAATGAGCTGCGGGTGATGGAAAAGCAGCTGGGGTGCCACAAAATGGGTCGGGGGTGCCGCAGGATGAGATGGGTATGGCCCAAAATGGGCTGGTTGTAGCCCAAAATGGGCTGGGGGTGCCACAAAATGGGCTGGGGGTGCCACAAAGTGAGCTGGTTATAGCCCAAAATGGGCTGGGGTGCCACAAAGTGAGCTGGTTGTAGCCCAAAGTGGGCTGGTTCTAGCCCAAAATGGGCTGGGGGTGCCACAAAATGGGCTGGGGGTGCCACAAAGTGAGCTGGTTATAGCCCAAAATGGGCTGGGGGTGCCACAAAATGGGCTGGTTATAGCCCAAAATGGGCTGGGGGTGCCACAAAATGGGCTGGGGGTGCCACAAAATGAGTTGGTTAAAGCCCAAAATGGGCTGGGGGTGCCATAAAATGGGCTGGTTATAGCCAAAATGGGCTGGTTATCGCCCAAAATGGGCCAGGGGTGCCTCCAGATGTGCTGGGGGTGCCACAAAATGATCCAAGGTGCCATAAAATTATCTGGTTATAGCCCAAAATGAGCTGGGGGAGCCACAAAATGAGCTGATTATAGCCCAAAATGAGGCTGGGATGCCACAAAGGGAGCTGGTTGTAGCCCAAAATGGGCCAGGGGTGCCTCCAGATGGACTGGGAGTGCCCCAAAGTGATCCAAGGTGCCACAAAATGATCTGGTTATAGCCCAAAATGGGCTGGGGGTGCCACAAAATGAGCTGGGGTGTCACAAAATGGGCAGGGGTGTCCTCAAAATACTCTGGGGGTGCCA